CACACACACAACACACACACACACACACACACACACACACACACACACACACACACACACACACACACACACACACACACACACACACACACATATATATATATATATATATATATATATATATATATATATATATATATATATATATTTACACAACATATTACATACACCCACCACACACACACCATATAATATGTATTATATATATATATTAATATATAATATTAATATATATATATATATATATATATATATATATATATATATATATATATATATAATATATATATATATATATATATATATATATATATATATATATATATATATATATATATATATATTATAGTACACACACACACACACAACACACACACCACACACACAACACACACACACACACACACACACACACACACACACACACACACACACACACACACATATTATACTATATATATATATATATATATATATATATATATATATATATATAGTATTATATATAATATATATATTATATATATATATATATATATATATATTATATATATATATATATATATATATATATATATATATATAATATATATATATATATATATATATATATATATATATATATACATATATGATATATATATAAATATATATATATATATATATATATATATATATATATATATATATATATATATATATATATATATATAATATATAATATATATATATGTATGTATATTATTACTATATTATATATATATTATATATATATATATATATATATATATATATATATATATATATATATAATATATATATATATATATATACATCAATATATATATATATATATATATATATATATATATATATATATATATATATATATATATTAATATATACACACACACACATATAATGTGTGTGTGTGTGTGTAAAGATATATTTGAGTATATATATATATATTCATATGTACGCACCTACACACATACGTATGTACACTAATGTAATTTAATAATCTGTTGTCCTCACGATGTTCATAATTGCTCAAGCGTTTGTTTCTCTCAAAACCAAGTGCACACAAAATCTCAATGGATAACAAAAGCAAAAAGTTTTTTTTTTTTTTTTGTTTATTACCAATTACATTTGCCGAATGTTGCAGAAGTTGCGCCGAAGGGTCGTCTGGCTCCGGGGTTTCTGGCGAACGAAAGAAAAGGTGATGAGAATTCTGATTATCTATTATCATTATTACTATTATTATTATTATTATATTATTTTTTTTAAAGTGTGTGATGGAGGTACTTATCTGAGATGAAATGGCGCGTTTTATTTCATTATTACTATTATTATTAATTTGTTTATTTGCTTTTGATTGTCAGTTTCTTTTTCCTAGTAAAGTTCACTCCGCGACATTCCTGTGTTGCAAGCGTCACCGCGTGCAACTTCAGCGTCGCTCACGGGAATCGCCCCGCTCGTTCCCTCCGATCTGCCCTTTTAAGTGTCGCCAGCATGCAAGAAGCAACTTTGCGGCCGCCTCCAAGTCCCCCGCCGCCTCCGAGTCCTCCTCCGGATCCGCCTCCAAGTCCCCCGCCGCCTCCGAGTCCTCCACCTCCGTTGTGACCTCCACCACCTCCTCCTCCGAACCCTCCACCGGTTCCGCCGTTGTGGTTTCCACCGTGGTTTCCTCCGTTGCCACCTCCCCCATGGTGCCCTCCACTGCCTCCTCCCCCATGGTGGCCTCCACTGCCTCCTCCCCCATGGTGGCCTCCGTGGTGTCCGCCGCCGTTGTGGCCTCCACCTCCGCCTCCACCGCCTCCTCCTCCGCCTCCTCCTCCCCCGAGGCGACGGGCCCGAGAGGCCGGCACCAGCAGCGCGAGGGCCAGCACCAGCGCCAGCGTTGGTCCCTTCTGTGGAAGTGTTAATGAGTTCTGAGAATAGATTTGTCACTCCCTTTATCTTCGGTTCGCGATTATCGCTTCTTAAATCAAAAGCTTTGCAACCCTAGGTGAATATGCTTTCCCGATTTCTTTAAAGAGAGCTCTCAAGGCAAAGTCCATTTCCTTTTCTGCTTCTTACATTCTTAAGGCCTTCTTGCAGCTTTACGGTTTCCACGCTTTCCTCTCACGATGGCCACCGACCTCTATCTCTGAATTTATCCCAACATGCACATGACCACAGTATAATATTATGAGAAAAAGGCAAAACTCTCAGTGTGGATTTATGTGCTGGAGGACGCCATGGACCAGAGAAGTTCAAATGGATAGCGTTCAGATGCAGAACAACTGAACTGATCTTACCATCTTTGCAGGAAGGATTTCAGGCAGGGTCTGTCCTCTGTTCATCCACTGAAGCCATTATATACGATGCCCGCTGAACATGCACACACACACACACACACACGTACACGCATACCCCCCCCCCCCCCTTTCAGTGTACACACGTCTGTCTGCCTGTCTGGAACTGACTTCAGGACTGCTTTCCGCGAACGCTGAGTCAC